TTCAGTTTTTTGTATGTATATTGAAAGTAAGGTTTTTCATATTCGAAATACCGGTTGGCAAAAATATTAATCAATAATGTCATTTTGTGGTAGAAAAAAATGTCACATGCTTGTTATACCAATTTTGAGAAAAAGAAAATGGGGCTGTAAATGAAGCAAGGATTGCAATTGGTCTGAATATTCTCATTGTCAGATTCTTACGCACAAGAACAGACTGGAAACGGCAGAACAATTAATTTTCATGGTGCTATATTTGAAGTGTTGAATAAGTTTTTTACTCCATTAAATTCATGCAAAAATCTGAGATAACCTCTCGAAAATGTATAGTACAGTACTTGTGTACGGACTACTTATTTTAGCGAATTTTAAAATCAAATAAAACATCCAATGCTTATTTTTCGAAAGTATTTATCATTCAAACCATTAAATTGTATGTTCAAAGTGTATTCATTGTAAGTGGTCGTATTTACGCAATCATAGACTAACCTATGATTTTGAGAAGCACTTTTAGAGAAGAAATATTTATACTTTTCCAGAAATTGAAGTGCTTTAAAGGGAAACTATATACGGTACATGAATAAATGTATAAATTACAGTTTACATACAATACAGCAGGAATATGAAGAAATATGAGACTTGTTCTCGAACATGTGCCACATCCTGCGAGTCAGTGCGGCCTATGCACGTAAATTTTCTGCAGCATTATAGGCCGCGCCAGAATTTTTAAACTGTGCGTTTTTTTCAATGAAAAAGAGACGCGCGGCCTATAGGGGCGTAAACAAATACTATACCCTACTGTATATGGTCAAATATAACTCTCCGTTTCGTAATTAATTTCCTTCACAACTGACTTGTGTCCCATCACGCACGTTTGATATTGCAGCGTAGTTAATTTTCTTGTAAAATTGAGTCATTTTTCAAGTTCTGCGACAGCAGCAAAAGCGGCGTTCCCGGAAAAAAGATTGACGTACCACGCGAGAGAGTATACCCGTCCTGTGTTCCCGTCTTGATCCCGTATGGTTTTAGTGGCGGGATCGGGGCGCGGGCGAAGCTCGACGCGCTCGGAACCTGGTGTCCCGAATGTCAGTTGTCGGGAACTCGTTGTTGGCGGCGGACGTGGACGATGTGAGTGTGCAGCGTAAAAAAGAAATATTGGAAAAAAAGACGGGGAGAAATTAATTAAGTGAAAATGCCAATTAGAGCATGGGCACGCTCCCGTTTCGGACTTCTTCGTTCTCCTTTTCGCGACTTTGAAAAATTAAGGCCTGCTTTTATTCCATAATCAAAGGATTGCGACAGTCAAGGGGGAAAAATTTCATCTTTCTCCGTGGTAATTCGAGCCTCTGGCGGATTCGGGGAAAATTCGTGTAATCTTCGTTCTTTTTCCCGTCTCGTGGTTTCAAGTCCTGATTTTCTTGTTCGTCGAATCACGTTTTGTGCTTATTGTGGTGCTGTTGTGAACACTTGACAAGGTTTCCTGAATTTTCGGAATGTTGAGCGAGACGTCTACGCGTCGCATGAAGTGTAAATGAGATTTTTGTGAGGCAATGCGAGTGAACGCAGAATCATCAATATGCATTTGCTGTCGCAATCGCGCCAGGTTTTTTTTATTTATTTTTTATTCATTTCAATGCCACAATCAATTCTAGATTTTAATGTTCAGCTTGTTCTGCATAGCATCAGCACCCATGATGGAGTTTTCTTTCGATGACTTCATATTTTTCGAATTTCTTACGACGTGCTCTTTTTCAAAAATTTTGGCTGAGAAATAACGTTGCTTATGCTCTTGTGATCTTACGTTTCTCATGCTCTTGATGAATTATGTGTATGAATTGTTCGCTCTTACATCCTGAAATGCCTCTTGAAAACTGATATGTCCGCGTGATTGGCTTGGTTTTAAAAGTGATCAGGCAATTATTGGCAATTCGATTTTTTCTGAATTACACATTAATTTTACTAGAAACGAATTTGATTTTCGAATACCCACGAAATACACAATAGTGAAATAAGCGACCCTGTGTGACTTCCGTTTCACCTGATAATGCATTCAATTTCGGTTTACGTCACACAACATTGATGAACTCTCGCCTATCTGTAAAGAAATCTTCGTGAAACCTCACCGAAAAAAACATAGACTTTTTTCAACTCTGTACGATTAAAATTGTGCTGCACCGAGATTTTTCGATGTCCCGTTAATGAAAATGTGAGTTGCGAATGCGATGAAATTTCCCCCTAATAACGGTGAGCCACCTTGAGTTATGAGTTCAGTCTGGCGTTTTTTCCTTGTGCTGACGCTCACGTCAACTTTGAGGGTTTCACGATCAGCGGCAATCAAATGAGTGATTCTGAGTATTCTTTTGGGTGAATTATTCTAATCGAACTTTATTATCTGTTGAGATCTCATTACGGTAGACCTAGATGAAAAACTGACCAACCGACCTATGCCCAACATAATATGGAACACCTCATCTTTGAAAACATGTTATAAAACTATTGCCACATGAAGTAAATATATAATTTAGATTTTGTAACATTGGCCAACGTAGTGCATTGCAAAATCATCCCTTTTAAAACCGAATTCCTGGGAGGATCTTATCCGAGTACCGTTTCTAAATTTTGCCAACGACTCACGAACTAGGCCGACGATTTAAGCCCCAGACGTGAGGCTAGAGATCCACGAAGGAAAAATGTCCATGTCCTGACGAAAGAACTGATGGGTCGGGTGCAAGAAGCATCGAGAAACCAGAATGATTTTTCAATGGGAAGTAACCGGATCAAACTTGCAGATACCGTACATTTGGTTGTTCGTTGATGGATTTCATCAAATGATTTCATCTATCTACTCGAGTGAATTGCCGTTTGTCTCGTTTTTCTTGTGAATGCCTAGTCGTGCTTGCGGGTGTGTGTGTGTGTGTGTGTAAATGACGATTTGCAGCTGGTTTTGAAAAAAGCCGCGCGAATCCCGACTGGCGAGAAGGGGAGGACGTGTGACCTATTTTCCTCCTCGCTGTGTCGTGCGGTCGCTCTGGATTTCTTCATTGCCGCGGCGGCGCGAGTTTTGTCGTGGCTGCTTTGCCTTGCATTGCATTGCAGTGTCTTGCTTGCTGCAACACGTGTTTATTCGGTGTTGTTTAATTATTGTGAGTGTGTGTGTCTGTGTCTCTCGTGTTTAATTTCGGTTGAACCGCAGCTCTCGTGAGTCTTTTCTATACTGGTCGTCGGATCAGTTTATTCTTTGTTCACAGCGACGTTACGGATTGCGAACTGCATGGAGGTGGTGTTGGCATTTTCCGCGGATCGTGATCGCGGCAGATGAAAGATTCGAAATTTTTTGTTTAGTGATTTGTGCCAGTTGAAAAAAGCGGCACTTCTCGGTTCATAATTCGTTTGATTCTACTGCAATTTAATTTATGTTCGTGAGGTCTTCATCAGGGCTCTTACGCTGAAATTTATGTGTGCATTTACCGTGATCTTGGCAATGCAGCAATTTCGCCATCTGTAGAATTTTTGGTGGATTTATCAACAAAAGTTGCACGTAAAGTTCTTACGAGTTTTTTGTTCTTAATTTTTGATGATTGAAGAATTAAATTTCGATGGGATCCTAATTTTAGCTGAATTGGTGAATGTAAAACACAGTATTAAGAAAAGTTCTTCAATTGTTCGTGAATTTTCTCACCTTTTCATCAGCTCTTCGTGAAGAATTTGATAATTCTTTGGAGAGAAAACTTTCTTTTCGTAATTTGAATGGCTAATTGACTTGAATGTCAATCGACTTTTGAACTGAGATTTTTCGCTTTGCCGCTACTCTTTTTTCTGTAATACCGGTTCTTCAATCTTCCGAAAAAGTGGCCGAAGTGAAACAAATCGTGGTTTTTCAGTGTTCAATTGACCACAATTGTGTGAAGTGTTGCGTGAATTCCCCTTGAACCGAGTATATTTCTTTTTGCATACATTTTGAATCGCCCGTCGCGGAATTTGTTTCAAGTTGTGATAGAGGTTTCCGTGTGAATTCCACGAGAGTTGTTTTTTTTACTCGTCAGCGGTCCGACTGAAACTGCATTATTTTTAACGAATATTTCCGAAAGCAACCGGTTACAAGACTACCTTTTTTCGAGTTTAGAGGAAAAAATTGTAATTCCCTCGCACTCGCTGAATTGCGTCGACAATTCTCGAAGTTTTGCTCAATGATTTTTTTCCCCCACTCAGTGAATCCGTTTCAAATTGCTTAAAATACGCGAGACCAGCAGTTGCTCATCATATGCTGCGGTGCGTAGAACTCTTGTCTCGGAGTTGGCAATTTTGAATCTATGAAATGAAGGAAACTACTACAACTCACAGTTTTCTGAGTGCAAATCTTCCGCAATCCAATCTTCTATATCACAGGATTTTTGGCACGTACCAACTTGAATCTTTTTATATGCTCGATTTCAAAAGATTGGAGTGTCACAGCAGATGAATAAAATTGATTGTTTTCGTACGTCTCGTACCACATAGCTGAACATTCGCGGAAGTTCAAAGATTTTAAGACTGGAGTAAAAATTTTCGAAATATAGTACTCTACAGAACTTCGCAGTCAAAGCCTCAATGACTCCGAGGATAAACTCGGTACTTCCCCGCATTTTTTTCAGTTTTCTGAGGCAGAAGTACCGTAAGCTTTTAGCCTTTCTGGTTGCATTACTACATTTAACCAGGTGTTGCTCAGAACTAATCGATGTTCCTGGAATCAGTTTATTACATGAGATTGACTTGAATTATGTTCCGGATGGATCAATGGATACTGATTTTTGGACAACCCCGGAAATTGTACGTGCATCTTAATCACGCGACTGCATCTCCTTCGAGGGGCGTGCTGATATTTTTTGCGCGGTTTCGTTAAGATCTTCGTTCATTGTTTCCTTTATGTGTCAGTGACTTATTGTTGCTCTCTCATTCGTGCGTTCGATTCCGCGGATTGCAGACAAGAAAAAAAAACTTGTTCTGATGCTATTTTTAATTATAATTTTTTTTTCCTTCCACGCCAGACTTTTTTTCTTTTATTTTCGGAGAAAAGCATGGCATTATCGTTGGTCGTCTTTTGAAACAAAAAATAATCCGACTGGGGATAAAATTTCGAGCGACGAGTGGCCTCGGACCTGACAAAAAGAGTTTCCCGCTCGGGTCGGAAAGAAGAAAAAAACAAACGAAAACAAAACAAAAATTATGATGGGTGTCGCGCGTCGCGCTGTCGTTTGAAGAGACCATGCATTGCGTGAGATCAAATTCGCACACGGTGTACGGACCCGGGTGATATCGGTTTACCTTAGTTTTTTCCTTATACAACCCCCCATCAAACCCCAAAACTTACAAACGCTGAAAAGAAGGAAAGAGGAAGAGAACGAGAGGGAAAAGCGCGACGGAATCGATGGCACTGCTCATGGAAATGGAGCTGCCTTTGGGCACGTCGTACGATGGGGTGCCAAGCCCCGTCGGCGGCGGCGGTGGTGGTGGTCCCGTTGGTGGTACCACTGCCCAACAACAGCAGCAACAACAACAGCAACAGTTGTTCGCGTCGACGCAGGGCGAGACTTCGTTGGTGGATCGTTTGAATGCCTATGCTGGACTAGAGCTTGACGCGGATTACGGATCCGCTCATCACCAGGCCACGAATAACGCCAATGGGCAACAACAGGCCGGGTATTCCGGCGCCCTCGCGGCGGCCTTTGGCAATTCCAGCGGCAATCTCATCTTCGGCACGACGATCGGCTCGTCTGTTGATAGCTGCTTGTTTTCGCTAGGCTCGTCGTCGTCGGGTGCGTCGGTGGATTACTCGACGGGCTTTTCGACGGCTGCGGCGGCGGCTGCGGCGGCAGCAGCAGCAGCCGCCGTGTCCGGCCGAGGGGATTTGCCGGACACGAAGGAGGGATTTATGGAGGAGGCGTGTCCCGTGTGCGGGGACAAGGTGTCTGGGTACCACTATGGCCTGCTGACGTGCGAGTCGTGCAAGGGGTTTTTCAAGCGGACTGTGCAGAACAAGAAAGTGTACACGTGCGTCGCGGACCGGAGTTGCCAGATTGACAAGACGCAGCGGAAGCGGTGTCCGTATTGTCGCTTTCAAAAGTGCCTCGAAGTCGGCATGAAACTCGAAGGTGAGTCTCCTTTTTGTTTTTATCTTCATTTATTCATTCTTTTCCTTGATTTTGTTGCGATCTGCATTTATGTATATGTAAATGTATTATTTTTAGGATCAGGTTTATTTTTCTATGATCTATTGAACCCCGTTCATATATGTGTGTGTAACTCCTTTTACTTGGGAGACTTCTCGTGTTTCTGTGCCATGTACTGTTTTGATACAGTCGAACCTCCCTTGGGCGAACTTCCAAGGAAACAGCAAAAAATTTCGAGGTTGGGAAATATGCCACTTCTTGATAGATGTACTGTAAATACAGCAGAATCTCGTAACAAGCTTCACTGTGAAGAATTAATTCTAACAACTAATTTGTTTTTTCGGTCCCTGTAAAGAATCGCAGGACGGTCAAATTCAGGAATTTTATGCTTTTAGACTGCAAAATACTGTAGATGAGTTGACGGCGTGCGGAACTTTGAGGCAAGGTTTCATTTGCTCAATAGTCTTATATTTCCTTTCAAACGCATCAAGTTGCGTTTTTATTGCGTTTATTTTTCCTGCGCCAATAAAAAATAGCCAAAATGCCTCCCAAGAAATTCGAGTTATGGAGGTTTGAGGGAAAAGACTTCGAGTTGGCAGGCTTTTCATTGCATTGATTCTCAGGGGATGAATAAATGGAATTTAAAATATTCAATGATAGGAGATATTTAACTTGACGAGGTTCAACTGTGGAAGACAATACCTGTAGGTAATCAAAAGAGTATCGTATCTTTGTTCCTTAAGCAAAGGGTACACCATTAGTTTTATTATATTTTGTTGAATTTTCTTATGCTTGATTCAGGAGAAATTTCCGTCCCAGTGGTCGATTTTGCGTAAAATGCGTATCAGGGAATCCGAGAATAATGTTTTTGCTGGGACAGAATCAAGTTTCAAGTTTTCATCTTCCTTTTTCCAATTCGCCAACGTTCAACTTTAAACATTTTGTCACTGGTCTGTATTTGTACAAAAAGTCTGGAGAGGAACGTGGCTTTTTCTTTTGCTGTAACTTTGTGAAACTTGATTCCCCCCCCCCCTTTTTCCTGAGCTTGACTTGTGACACTTTCGTTTATATTCCGTATTTTTGAGTGCCAAAATATTGATGAAATTTGGAATAGCGCCATGTTCTTCCTCAACTGTTTTAAGAGGAGTTGTCATTCCATTTTGCTTTACCTTATGATACATTCTCTCGATTGAGACACTTGCTGGATTTTTTGTGGGTTGAAATCAGGAGATCTGATAAAACTATGCATTCCTTGGTTTTAATGGGTTAACTTATGAAATAGAGACGCATCATCTTCATCTCACTTATTTCAAGATTCTGTGAATCAAATTACAGTAGTACGAAAGCTATTGAATGTTGATTGTTACATACGTTACTTCATGATAAAGGTATGTCTTCGTTGAAATGTGGCTGTGGAAGCAACGTTAATACTTTAAAGGTATTCGTAAGAATTCGATCCGGTCGACTGAAGATGGTTTTCGTTTGCTGGCTTTCTTAGATTAGCCAGTTTTGGTAATGGATAGCTTGAAGACACACAGTACGAAACTACTGCGAGAAAATGTGTCGATTCTTGGTCAATTTTTACCGACTGTGCATCTGTTACAAGTTACATACCGTAATACCTGAACTGAACTTTATACTCAAATCGATGTGATCAGTCAAAGAGACGAGATAATTATTCCTTATGCAGAAGTTTATTGCGAATAATTCCTTAGTATCTACATCTGCTCTCAATACTTGATTAGATTGTCTACTTCGCAACAAATCTCGACGGGAATATCTAGATTTTTTTTTGTCTCGTGGAATTGAAATATTGACCGAGTACGTAAACTAGCTGGTAAATGTCAATCGAAATCGTCGCACCGCTCCTCCTATGAGCCACTGTTTGCTGGTTCAGGATTGGTCTTATACTCTCATTCTTGTTTCTCATTCGTTCGGCGAATGGTATTTGTTGATTTTTTTTTTCCTTTCTTCTCTCTTCAAGTCCCCAATGATGGGTTGCGAGGAACGGAATGGAATAGGAAAGTGAGGGCGTAGTCAGTCGTTGGAGAGTCTGATTCCACGCAAATCAGTGACAGTAAAACGAACGTATTCACGTGTAGGTTTTTTCTACGGTGTCCAAAGTTTCATTATTACCATACATTTTGGTATAAGTATCGTATTTAACCGAAAATAAGCAACCCGCTGGATTTTTGAGGCAGAAAATTGTAATTCCATTACTGTACAGGTGAACAACTCCCTACGATGATCTCGTCTACAACCATTTTCTCTGTACACAACCCCCGTCTAACGAACTTAATTCGTGCAACGGACAAGTCTGTTAGTCGAAAAGTCCCTTAGACGAATTCAATTATGTAAAAAATTCAACTTTTCACTCGTCAATACTAATTTTAAACCAGAATAAGTCTGTTAGGCGGGAGGAAACCCTGTCTGCAGAGCTGGTCTGTTGGGCGAAAATCCCTTACGTTGGAGGTCTGTTAGGCACAGGGCCACTAACGCAATTTTTCCGATCAAGTTGAGTTCTCTCTCCATGTTATACGGGTTCTCTTCGACGATTTTTTTCTGGTCCCTTCAATTTGATCGTAGAGTCCACCTGTAATGAGCGAATATGAACATCCAATGTCTTTCTTGATGTTATGACTTTCCGGGAACATGAAATTTCTGACTGATTTTAGGTGTTCTCCAGAAAAGGGAAGACCTTGTCACACAACCCTTGCTCTTCTTCAGTCAATTATATCTCCTGCATCTCGAATTGCTGAAAGCTGACCATTTCTTAATTTTTATTCACCTCATTTCTAAAAACTGAATAAAAGAAGTGCGTGCTTTTTTTGTAGCTGTGAACAGGAAAATTTCCAGATGTAGAAGTACCGTAGTTTTAAAGCTTTTAAAATTAGCGAAAAAGGTAATGCTTACATTTGCGCAAATACGGTATTTGAGTTATGTAGGCAAAGGTTTGTGTTGTTGCGAACCGATTTTCGCTCGGGTTGCTTTCGTTCATTTCGTCGTTAGCGATTGGTTTGGTTTTCCCGTTTCATTCTTTTTTTGATGAAAAATTGAATGGTTTTCAAAAATGTTCTCGCTTTTCAAAATCCGCGCATGAAGAAATATTATTGCCTTGGGTGGTTCATTCTTCGGATCTGTTTGAGGGATATTTAAATCAATCGATGATTTCGAAATATGGCACTTGCGGTAAACTTTTAAAGGCTGACCGGGAACCATGTGTTATATCGGGATCATTGTAGCGTATATGTTCAAGAAGAGGTTCTGTTTTGTAGCAGGCATTGATCACGTACATTTTTTTTCGTGATCATTTTGGGTTATCTGTATGTTACTTCAAATTGTCCCTAATGCTTCAGGTCGATGAGAGAAATTCATGAAGTTCCATAGCATCAAGATTTTTCTCGCATTTTAGTTTTTCAACTTTTTTTTTCAATTGATGACTTGACAATCAAGGTAAAAATTCTGCATTAGCAAGTTTTCTCTACTTGAAATCCTGCTTTGACGACCAAAACAAATTTTTTAAGGCGAGTTCATGATTACAGTATTGGTACTCCAGCTCGGCGGGGGCATGAAAAATTAAAATGCAATTTTTTTTCTTGCGAATCAGAACTCGTTCATGGCCTTTATGCGGTATTCGCATCAAACTACCGATACTGGTGCAACTTTTCTTATTATTTTTTTTCCTGGACAAGTTAGTGTGACTCGTGTGTAACAGCGGGAAAAGTCCGTTCCCGAGGCTCTTTTTCCCCTCTTCGCGTTGTGGGGAATAAGAGATCCAAAAGGAGAAGTTTCTCTCTCCGTGAGCGAGGAACAACGGCTGGAGCAATCCGATGACGCAACTGCTTGTTCAAAAAATGTTCCCTCTCTTTCTCTCTTTTGTAGAAAAAGAGAAGAGGAAAATAAAATGAAGCTTCTTTTTTTCCTGTGTTGGCTCTTCGTCTTTCCTCATGTCCGTTGAGCTTTTGGAAATTTCTGGGCGTTGAAATTTTTTACGCGTTTTTTTTTTCAAGTTTTCTGCTTGTGCTTCTCTATGTTGGACTGAAATTTTTTCAAGATTTTGAGAGCATAATGAGCTGCTCTGTGGCTTTGCGCACCTGTGCTCTATGTTGGAGGTGTTTTGCATGCTTTTGAAAGGAAAGGCATAAACCCGTGGATATATTCTTCTGTTTTAAATTGCGAACCTCTTTCAAATGTTTCAACAGCAAACGATTGCGCAAGGTAGTTTGGTAATATCTAGGATTCGAATGGCACTTAAATGCTCAACACGAGATTTGTGAGACCCAGATCATGTTCGCTGTGTGCACCTTTGAAATTTTTTTTATTTGATTTGAGAGAAACGAAAAAAAAAATGCTGGAATTGAAAAATCGAATCGCTGCGAAAATGCTCCCTTCAAACAATTTCTCCAGCGACCGGAATGGCATTTGTTCGAGATCCAAGTTTCTGTGACGTAAACTTTGTTTATTGTGATGCTGGATTTTAGGTGGCTATGGGCTAAATATTTTGAATTTGATTTGAGCATTGAACGAGCAAACATGATCTGAATTATTCCGTAAATCAAACATTTGATCGAAAACTTTTGTGTGAGGTCTAAAATCGTCATTCCAGGCAATTAATTTCTTGTGTTTTAAAATCTCGGGCTTTGTGGCATATGCACCTTTTTAAATTTGAGTGATCTCAATAATCAGGTTATTCAAGGCTGAAATAGTGATTCATTTTTAGTTTGTATTTTGTGGACTGGTTGAGGAATAAATTGATTAAATTCCTAGCCTGAAATAACCATTGAGCTAAGATCAGTTCTAATATTTTTTTGCATGTGTAGTTCTACCAGATTTCCCTCGCACCTGTGCTAAATCAAGACAGCATCTCTGTAAATAAATTCGAATACTGCATACTATGAGATGGTTTGCTGAATTTGTTTGAAAACGGGATGCGTGAAAATGTTCAAGAATGCTTTGGTCAAAGAACAAAAGTCAAACGGAAATTAAAAATTGGATTATTTTCGCTCCCTCGAGGTCTGAGTTACACGTTTACATGTTTCCTGAAAGACTGAATTTACTTGAATTTTTTCCTTTCGAGGATGGTAGTGAGAAGAGCGGGGGGTGAGAAGATGAAGCGAGGAATTTTGCTGGGATTTCCCGGGGAGATTTTCTTGCGAAAAGGCCGCATTTTTGTGCTCGAAAGCTTCATATTTATTTCTGCTGGGAAGAGTTGCTGCGATGCTTAGGGTTCATTAGTGGGATTCGTGAGGAAGTTCTGTTATCGAGGATTACGACTTGTCCTTGTACATTCGGTGAAATGCTGGCATTTTCATTCTTCTTTTCATTGGAAGCTCATCTTGGACGCTCTGGTGTTCATTATTTCTTGGTTCAGCAAAACCGAGAAGCGAAAATTATCTGCGGTTTCGGGTGCTGAGATTTCTTGAGCAAAATTTTTTTAGACTCTTTCGCGTTGAAAGTAAGCTCCTGAAATATGATTTATTTATTCTCCAGTATTTGAAATCGATTTTAATGAAACGGTCGACGTTTTCAGTTCGTCTGCCAAAACAAAATTTACGAGCAAAATTCCATATAATGTGGAGGCCGTTTCTCTACAACACTTTCCATTGGGGTCTCCAGTAGATGGCATTCTGATTTTTCACAATGAAGAAACCAGAGTTTTTCTTCTGTTACAACTTAAAAATATTGCGTTTCAAAAGTTTGATTTGTGCGTTTTACGAAAAAGGAAGCAATATTTTCTCGTCTTCACGTTTTAAATAAGTTTTTGTGTGTACAGTATTGTAAAGATTTCCTCCCTTTTTGTTTGTCGACTTCCGATGTGCCTCTTATATATATATTT